ACAGGTCATGAACAAAGAGCCGCTCTTTCCACACCTTTTCGACAGTCGATTAAAAAAAAAAATCATGTTGACTTGCATTTTAAATATACTAGAGAGAAATATATAGTGTGGTGTTTCTCTGCTTTCAAGAAAGGCCATTACAGAGCATGTTTGGAGGCTAAGGAAACGGCTCAGTGGGTAAAAGCATTTGCTGCTCAGGCCTGGACACCTAAGCTCAGGTCACTGGGACCTGTGTAAAAGCTGATGGTGAGAACCAACACCCCAAGGTTGTCCTCCGACATCCATGGACACACCAGGCATGAGCACACCCTCACACAAATGTACACACACACACACACACACACAACTTCACAAAAATATTTTTTAAAAAAAGAACGTACTGGGGAAATTATTGAAAGAAGCCAAGCCTTTGGCTTGAAATGACAGTAATTTCTTCAAAAGGAATTCTTAAAACATACTTGTTTTTAATAGATTAAAAAAAAAAAAAAAACACATCATTAAAATATTTGTCTTTCCCTAGGAAGAGAGTAGCAGATAAGATTAATACCCTTGTATGATTCCAAAGACTGTCCATGGCACTTCGTGAGAAGATGGAGAACTCTAGACTTAGCAGTTCCATGGTTTTCACCAGTGTCCAGCAGTTAAAACTAAGTTATGGCTTCTATCACAAAACAATGCTCCACCTTCTTCTGGTACCCATTTTCTTTTCCACACTGTCTGATTCCCTTTCGCTCAGGCAAAAGCCTGTGCTTGGTAACAGGTAAAACTGAAATGAAAAAGACAACTCAAGCTCTGTTACTCCTTCTAACCTACCAAGACTACTTCGGACAGGCCAGGATGTGTGAGACATTGTCGTGATCGGACGGTGGCGGGGGCTGGCATGCTGTATGTCTCATTGATTTTACAGACCCATTTGGAGTTCAGCTTGTATCCCCACCCGAAAGCCTCGGTTTCACAGAGATTTTATAACCAGAGAGAAAGGCTATCAGTTCTTTCCCAGTTCCTCCCACCTGATTAAATTCCCTTACAATTTCAGACTTTTAGAACAGGGTTGGTTATCTTTATAGTGCAAATGCCTCGGGGGAGAATCTAACATTATCCCTGGAAGACTCATTTGTGTTTCAGCAGATACTAAACTCTAAAGTAGCTGGCATTGTTTCTTCCTGGGTCACTAGTTCCAAAACAGTACACATTTGTACAACAGTGAAAAAAAAAAAAAAGTGTGCATGTATGGTGGAGGGGAGCAGGGGGTAAGCACGGTGGTACATGCCTGTAATCCCAGAACTCTGGGACAAACAGATCTTTGTGAGTCCAAGGCCATTCTGGTCTGCATAGTGATTTTAGGCCAACCAAGACTACACAGTGAGACCTTGTCTCAAAAGAAAGGGGGCGGGGAGGGAGCTAGATTGAGGGAGGGGAGCCGAACAGGTGTAGAGCTCACTTACACTCATCATTTACTAGTAAATCTAGCCATTATTACTAGTAAATCTAGCCCTTTCTTGAGAATTCTGGCTAGAGCATACATTATGTGAAAATCAAAATAGCCGTAAGGAGGTGGGGCATTCTGGAGGCAGAGACAAAGTGTAACCATCCAAAGTTACACATTTGTTTTTTGCAAAAACAAATGAACAAACCAAGATACCTTTTGGAGAAGAACCCCAAGAAAATCCCCTCAAATTGCCAGGCACTGCATGGTGCAGATTAACCAGAATTTTGTATGAATGCCATTTTAAAGGTAGAATTCTCAGCCAGTCTGTAGTGGTGCAGGCCTTTATTCCCAGCACTCAGGAGGCAGAGGCAGGTGTATCTCTGAGTTTGAGACCAGCTTGATCTATAAAATGAGTTCCAGGACAGCCAGGGTTACACAGAGAAACCCTGTCTTGAAAAAACAAAATAACAGTACATTTCTTTGTGGAAGTCTCTACATTTCAAAAATCTGTTGACAAAACACTAATGGTCATTGTTTACTAGCTGCAAAGAAACTTTTTTTTTTTTTTGGACAGGATCTCTTGTACACCTCAAAAGGAGGTCATATAACCTTGAGCTCCTGCTCCTCCGGCCTGTCCTTCAGCGTACTGAGACTTCAGACACATGCCACCAGACCCGGCTTTCTACAGTACTCCACCAAGTGACCTAAATCCCTAGCCTTCCAGATGTTTAACCCAGAAGCACTGAATCAACACAAAAATATCAGATCTGCAGAATGTTATCTAGCCAGTGCAGTTAAAAAAAAAAACTAACTCCTGGGGCTGGAGAGATAGCTCAGAGGTTAAGAGCACTGTCTTCTCTTCCAGAGGTCCTGAGTTCAATTCCCAGCAACCACATCGTAGCTCACAACCATCTATACTGGGATCTGTTTACTGACCTCTTCTGACATGGAGGTATACATGCAGACAGAACATTATATACATAATAAATCTTTAAAAAACAAAACAAAACAAACTCCTGAAGTCAGACAAACCTGAGGTTGAAATCTTGCTCACAGCTGGAATTCACATGAGCTCAAATTTCTGTGTCTGAAAAGGAAGCCTGTCTCATGGAGTTGCCAAAAGGTGTAAATAGAATGCATGAAGTACTTAGACACAGAAGTTTCAAAAACTGTGCAAAATAATTTGTGTTTTCTATTGCATCTTCATAACTGACCTGCTGTAGTATTGTAGAGAAATTTTAATTCAGAACATGGCTGCTCTGGCAGAGATCACATCTAAGTCTGTGTGATCCAGCCTTCAATCCCAGGAGAAAGAGGCAAGAAGATCACTGACTTCAAGGCCAGACTAGTATAGAGCAATTTTCAGGTTAAAAAAACAAAAAAAGTTTAGGTTACACCTGGTACACGGCTGTAATCCTAGCACTCAGGAGACAGAGGCATGCAGATTTGAGTTCTAATCAATGCTGATCATTAAGTTTGGCTGAGTCAATGAGCTGAGAGGCAGTGCAGTGGAGTTTGTAGCAGTTCAGTCTGTGACAGTCAGAGGCAGTTTTTACTGGGAGAGTTTTACAGAGACAGATTGAAGAGAGAAAAGGCTAGATACAGGTGAAGACAGAATAAGCTAGAGAAGGAGAAGAAGCCAGAACATTAGAGAAGATTGCTTGTTAGCTTAAGACCAAGCAGAGCAATTCAGTGAAAAACTGAGAGAAGCCAGATCGAATAGTCAGTTTGGAAAGGAGTTTGAGACAAAACAGCTGAGTTGAACAAGCCAGTCAGATCAGAAAGAACTAGAAAAGGTAAACTTATTCAGCAGTAAGTCTCAGAGGCTAAAAACATTCTAGGCCTAGACTGTACAGAGGCTAGAAGCTTCCAGGATTAGGCCTAGGTTAGCAGACAGAGGCAGTAAGCCTCCAAGACAACAATACCATCAGGAGAATAAAAGAATTAACATAGTATACAAGCTTACCTTTCTTCAATTAAAACTAAGAACTTTTATAAAACTTCTGTACCTAACCCTTTGATCTGCCCAACACAGCAACTTCAACAGAAATTTCTCATTAAATATACATCATAATACTCAATGCAGCAGTGCTTGAAGTATATTTATAAGTTTGAGAAGCAATCTAAATGTCCATAAAGTACAATATATTCAGCTGATGAAAATCACTTCAAATTTAGGGAGGTGGGGCAGCCCTTGAGTCCTGGGTTCCAACCCTTGCACTAACGAAAGAAATGAATGAAAGAAAAGGTAATTTTAAAATCCCCCACACCATCTTTATCTTACAATGTGTAATTACAATCCTGTTTGTTTTCTTTGTGTGCACACCAAGAAAACCTGAGCAATATGCACTCTAAAAACAGAAACAAAACAAAGGACTACTGTGTGAGGCCGTGGTATTACGGGCTTTTAATCACATCACTTGGGAGGCAGAGGCAAGGAGATCTCTGTGAGTTTGAGGACAGCCGGCCTGCATATTGAGTTCTAGGCCAGGCAGAACTGGATGAGACCCTGCTGTTGGTTTAAAATGACTATTGGCCAGTATGGTGCCGAATGTTCTTATAATCCCAACTGCATCAAGGCTGGGCTGAGCAAAGAGAAACACTGAAAATATTGATCTTAAGACATTTCCCAAAAGGCAGTGATAGCCTGATTTAGCAACGGGAATCACTCACCCTCAAAGTCGAGTGATGCACTCTATCTTTATTCTGCTACTCACTAAGACACTTCATTTCACTGACTTTCCGTTTTCTCACCTAAACAGAGCTGACAACATCTGCCTTGCAGCATGAGATGAAATAATGAAAAAAAAAAAAAAAAAATGTTACGCAGATGATCCTAGACTTGGCTTTTGCAAAATCAGTCAAGTCGGGCAAAAGCATTTGACAAAAATGCGGAGTCTGTGCCTTTTGCACGTTATTTCCACAAGGTAGAAAAGAAAAAAAAAAATGTCAACACAACGGGAGGTGTAACCCCTAATCTTCCTCTTAGCATCCCACGTGGCTGCCTCCTATGCTTTCTGTATTTAGTACAGAGTGCAGAGAGACAGTACTACTTTTGATGGGCTGCCTTTGGGACTCCCTGTGACCTTGGGATCTACTTTTCCATCTCGCCAATCTCCGGGGCTGGGCCGCGCCTCACTCACCCAAATACACACACACACACACACACACACACACACACACACACACACACACACACACGCACACACCCTTCTGCAGCACAGCAGGCAGATAATCACGCCACCGTGGCGGTCACAAAACAGACTGTAAAAATGGTAATGCAACGCTGTCGGTGCTGGAACGCTCCGTTTGCTTTCCAACAGTAAGAGGAAAATACTGTGGATTCTTGGCTCCCACTCCGCGGAAAGGAGGAGTCCGAAGCCTCGGGCAGGTACAACTCTGCAACTTGCTTCCAAATGCACGGTCTCCGCCTCTCTACCGGCAGAGGAAGGAAGCTGCAGGCTGCAAGTGCGACGGGTCAGGCACCCTCCCGGCACCGGAGGACGCACCGAGCCCCCACGGTATGTGTTCCCACCCCGCACGTACCCCGTGGCCGGCCGCAACGCCCCACCTGTCTTGAAGGCCATTTTGTCATCGTCCTTGGCCCCGAAGGTGTCCAGCATGGACACGTAGAGCACCCCGTAGGCGTTCTGGATGCCAAACACCGACCCGTTGCACCACATGGCCGCCAGCATCACCAGCCAGCCCCAGCCTCCCTCGGGGGGCACGGGGGCGCCGGGGGGCTCGTCGCCCGTTGACCTCGCCAGCTCCACCTCCACTTTCTCTACGGACACGTCGGGGCCATCCGAGGGTCCCGGGCCGGGCAGCGCAGCGTCCTCCGAGGGCGGCGCGGACCCCGGCGGCTGCGCCTCGCTCGTCTCCCGCTCGGCGGCGGGCTCCTCCTGGGACGGCACCATGGCCCGAGGCGGCCCCGACGGGAGCCGGGATAGCTCGCGGGCGCAAGGTGCCGGGTAGCGCGCGGAGGCTGGGAGAGCCGAGCGGCCGGAGGAGGGAGACCAAGGTGAGAGCCCCGCAGCCGCGGGCTGGCAGGCGGGCAGGCGGGCGGGCTGCGCACACGGCACACGCAGCCGAAGGCGCGGGAGCGCTCGACACGCCCGCGGCCCCTCGAGCCCGACTGAGTCTGCCGTCAGCCGCCGCTTCTTAAAAGCGCCCCTTCCTCCCTCTGCCCGCCCGCGCCGGCTGGGGGCGTGGCCACTGGAGGGCCATACCCCCTGAGCCCGCGGGTGATTGGGTCCCGGCGAGCGGTGGCTCCGCCCCGCGACCCTACCCCTGCGGTCCAGTGACTGCGCGCGCGCTTCAGGCGCGCGGCCAAGTTAGCTACCTGGTGTCTATCACCAGGCGTAGGTCACCTCCTCCCGGCGTTAACCTTAGAAGTTTAGGGAGCGTCTCCTCCTACGTGTGAGCTGCGAGGGTGATCGATCCAGTCGGCCGCACCGCACCGGGTCGTTAGCCTCACTGGAACAGAGAGTCACAGTTGACACCCTTTAGAGTTTATGTTTGTTGTCCTTTCTGTGTGTGTGCTAATTATAATACAGAAGAGTCCTCAGGCCCCACACCTACTTAAAAGGCAATTCAAGAATCAGAGGCCTTGTTTAATTACTTCAATTCGGTTCCCTTCCGTTAATATACAGTTTGTTTTGAATATTTGGCACACTGAAGATGCTCTCTTTGGGAGACAGACTGTGGTTATAAATTTTTCAGCTAACAAACATTTTTGACAGGCAGCTAGAAAGCAATGCTCTTCAGCTACACAAGCTGTCCTCATACTAAACAAAGATATTCCAATTCCTTATATTCCAATTCCTCTGGCCCCGGAGGCATGTAATGCCCATATATCCTATTATTTCTCAGATACATAGATTGCTCACTTCAGACAAAATCAAAATGTGCTAGTTTCTTAGGCTCCTACCAGTGTGGTGGGTCACACAGTAACTGTAACGATCGATCACATTTGTGCTTCTCTCAGTCCTAAACTAGTAAGTACAAACAGTCCTGAAATACAAAGCAGGATGCAATTGTGTTTAAAACGCAGGGACACCCCAAGTGGATAGGGCCAGTAACTGTTCTTCAAAACACTAAAGGATAGAGTCTATATAGCCAGGCAATGATGGCACACACTCTTAATCCCAGTACTCAGGAGGCAGAAGCAAGCAGATCTCTGAGTCTGAGGCCAGCCTGGTCTACAGAGTGAGTTCCAGGACAGCCAGGGCTACAGACAAGGCTACCCTTGTCTCAAAATACCAAAAGGGGAAAAAAAAATGTCTACAGAAAATAAGTTTGAGCTGAGCTCTGGATTAGTCACATGATTTCAGTGGAGGAAGACAAGCAAAGTGCATCCCAGCCAGAGAAAAGAGAGAAGAGACCAAGGAAAGCACGGTATTCCTGAGGAATCTGGGGGTATAGCTCAAATGAGGGGTGCTTTAGAGACTAAATTAAAATGGCACAATAGCTTGGATATGTAATGTCCCTCAAAATGCTGTCTTTGGTGTTTTCTTCACTGTTCTATCACCATGAAGGTCACCATGACCAAGGCAACTCTTAAAAAAGGAAGCACTTAATCGGGGGCTGGCTTACAGTGGCAGAAATTTAGTCCATTATCAAGGTAGGGAGCAGAGTGCACACTCGGCACTGGAGCTGCAGTTGAGAGCTACATCTGACCACAAGCCCAGAAGCAGACACCTGGTCTCGTACTGGCTTTTGAACTGTCAAAGCCACCCCAAGAAACACACTCCTACAATAAGACCACACTTAATCCTTTCAAGTAGCCCCCCATGAACCTAGGGGGCTATTCTTATTCAAATCACCACATTCCACTCCCTGACCCCCACAAGCCTGTAGCCAGATCATAATGCAGAAATGAATTCAGTCCAACTTCAAAAGACCCCGTAATCTACCACAGTCTCATCACTGTTTAAAAGTCCCAAGTCTCTTCTGAGACTCATGGCAATATCTTAACTGTAACCTCCTGTAAAATCAAAATCAAAGAGCAGATCACATTCTTCCAACATACAACAGCACAAAATATACCTTACCATTTCAAACGGGAAGAAAAGGAGCATAGTGAGGAAATACTGGGCCAAAGTATGACTGAAACCCAACAGCAGAAACTCTGCATCTCCATGTCTGAATTCTGCATCTCCATGTCTGAAGTCAACGGGCTCTTCATAAGTCCACCTCCATCCATCTTCGCTAACTGCAAAACATTTCTCTCTCTTGGGTTGCTCCATGCTGGTTTTCAGGTCTCCTTGGCAACTATCCTGTGACTCTGGCATCTCCAATATCTTGGGGCCTCCAACACAATCCAGGCTTCCCTCTCTTGGCCTCCATGCAGGGACACCCCCGACACACACCTGGCCTCCATGGCTTTCTTTAGCCCCAGAAGGAGATTCTACAACCTCTTTTTTTTTTTTTTTTTTGTATCCTTGACTCTAAAGACAGAACCATGTGGCCAAAGCTGCTATGTTCTGTTGCTTCATGGGGCTGGAACCTGGCCCTCTCCTTCACTTACATTTGCCCCAGCTTTTTAGCGGTGGTCTCCTTCAACACTTAAGCTTTCCTTTAATTTCTCTTCACAAACTGAAAACTAAACTGGATGGGGTCTTGCCCTGAGATCACCACTCCTTTTACATTACCATTCCTTTTAGCATTAGCTTTTCTTTAAACTTTTGATCTCCTTGAGTGCAGAACTTGGCTCCATTATGCTCCCTGGCACTCCTTTTCTCTTCATATTGTACATTTTATATTTTTCTTTGTCCGGCTTGCTCCTTTTCATTACAGATCTGCATAGGAGTAATTGCTAATAACTATACAACAAAGTCAATACTAGGCAGTCTCAAAATCTCCTCTGCCAATACCGTTAATCCAAAGCTCTTCAACTTAGCCTCAGACAGATTTTTAGGGCAAAAAGCAGCCACATTCTTTGCAAAAATATCAAATGAGTGGTCTCTAAGCCATTTACGGATATTCTTCCCCTCTGAAATTTCTTGAGCTGAGCCCCAACAGTTCAAATCGTTGCTATATCTCATGGTCCCATTAAGCCCTGCTTAAAGCATCCAAAAAAATCACAATACCCTACCCTTGATACCAACCTCTGTCTTAGTCACTATTCTATTGCTGTGAGGTTACCTTGCCATGACCAAGGTAACTTTGTTGTTGTTGTTGTTGTTATTGTTTTGTTTTGGTATTTTTTTGGGAGGCGGGTCTCTGTGTAACAGCCCTGGCTGTTCTGGAACTCTCCTTGTAGTCCAGGCTGGCCTCGAACTCACAGAGATCCACCTGCCTAAGGTAATTCTTATAAAAGAAAGCTTGTAATTGGGGGCTTGCTTATAATTTCAGAGCTGTAGTCCATTATCATCCCAGGAGGGAGCATAATGGTACATAAGCAGACATGGTGCTAGAGCTGCATCCTGATCAGCAAGCTCAGAAACAGAGTGACACACCTCCTCCATCAAGGCCATACCTCCTAATCCTTCTAGTCCTTTCAAACAGTTCTACTCCCCAAACCAAGCATTCAAATATGTGAGCCTGGAAGTGCCATTCTTATTCAAATCACCACATGTAGTGTGGGCCTTATCCTCACTGTATTAGTGATGCTCTTGGGAAGTGGTGCAAGCATTAAAAGGTAGGGCCTGGTGCTGGTTAATTAGTCAGCCTGCCACAAGCCAGGGGTACCTGGGAAAAGGGAATTTCAACAAAGAAAACGCCTCTATCATATTAGCCTGTAGGCAAGTCTTTGGGGCCCAGGCCACCGTGGGTGGGGTCACCTCTGGGCAGGTGGTCCAGGATGATAGAAGAAAGCAGGCAAGCAAGCCACTGAGAGCAAGCCCATGAGCAGCATCCCTCCATGGCTTCTGCTTTAGTTCCCACCTCCAGGTTTCTGCCTTGGGTTCCGGCCCTGACTTACCATCATGATGAACTGTAAGCTATAACAGGAAATAAACTCTTTCCTCCCCAAGTTGCTTTTGGTCACAGTGTTTAATCATATAATAGAGAGTAAAGCAGAACAGGAGTAGTGAGATAGTTTAGGTCACTGGAGACTTGCCCCTGAGAAAATTGTGTGGTCCTGGTCTCCTCTCTAATTCATTCAGGACATAAGGCATATAGGCCAGGTATGGTGACACATGCCTTTAATCCCAGCACTGGGGAAGATTTCTGTGAGTTTGCAGCCAGCTTGGTCTACAAAGAGAGTCCAGAACAGCCAAGGTTATACAGAGAAACTCTGTCTCAAAAACAACCAAAACAACAACAACAACAAAAAGAATATAATATACAGGGGACTGGAGAGATGGCTCAATGATTAAGAGTATGTGTTGCTCTTCCAAAGGACCTGAGTTCAGTTCCCAGCATCAAGGCGGTAGCTCACAACCATCCATTCCAGGGGCTCCAATACCTTCTGACACACTTGAAAATGTGCAGGCAAAACATTCATATAGATAAAGTAAGAAGAAAATCTAAAAAAGAAATTTAAAACTAAGTAAATTGAATATGCAGAGTTTGGAAGTGCTGAATGAGATTCCAATGATGTTACATATAAGTACCGTTTCTATTTATGTTAGATGGTACAGGGTTCTTTGATGCCATTTGAATGACCACTTTAAATCAAATAGCCAGATGTAGCTTTGAGCTACTACAACGGCGACGGAGAAATTTCTAAAACATAATCTTTCTGTGATACACTCTACAAATCCTAAAATCAGAATAGCACTATAGTGATGATTACTTGGTAGGCATTCTCCTAAATATCTGCGACTTAATATAATTTACACACAGAGAGACAAACACACTATCTGGAAGCCTTACGGTGAGCAGCTTGATTAAAAGCACATAAATGAAGGCCGTATGCGGTGCTGCACACCTTGGATCCCAGTACTTTGGAAGAAGAGACAAGCAGATTTCTGTAAGTCTGAGGCCAATCTGGTCAATATAGTGAGTTCCAGGACAACTAGAGCTATAGAGAGAGATCCTGTCTTAAAATTACTTACCTAATTAATTAATTAAAGCATGCATGGGGCTGGGATCCAGCTTAATTGGAAGCTATTGGAGAGTACTGGCTCAGCACGTGTGAAGCCCTGTGTTCAATCTCTAACTCCAAAAAGAAAAAGAAAAATCTTGAAAAAAAAAAAAAAAAGTACACAGAATGA